CTTTAATACCACCTTGGCAAGAACTGCCATAGGAAGAAAGAGGGAGGTGATTAACCTCTCCTCTATGTCAATATGCAGAGAAGAACCTGGAGCAGTGGAAATGGCCTAACAGTTGTATTAGACGGAGTCATTTCCTGTTGATTTTTTAACTACTTTTCCTCACTATTTCTAGGGAAGCAGCCAGCTTTTAAACAGCTCAGTGTGGTGCCTTGAATGTTCCATCCCTGATTGTTTGAAGGTAAAAAAAAAAAAAGCACATCCCTTGATTACACAAAACATTTCAAGCCCAGTGCAAGCAAACATTGTAATGAGTAGTCCCCAAGGAGATGATACAGCATCTGTAAAGACCTGCTCACCTTTCATAAATTATGGGGATTAACTTTAGAAAACTTTAACTTTAATTATGGCAATTATGGGGATTAACTTTAGAAAAAAAATACCTAACTAGTCTCTGTCCTCACAGTTATTTATTTTCCTGCAGGATGGCTTAGAGTTAACCTAAATCTGTCACTTTGCTAAAATCTCAGCACTGATTTACACAAAACAATTTAGAAACAAGTTTTGCTTGGTCAATAAAAACTGTCAAGACAATCTTGAGCTCCTTTTAGTTTAAGTTGATCAGAAGCCCAATGTCCAGGACATTGGTATTATTTAAATCATTAACAATTCTTTTAAACCATGAAAGTTTAAAGGCATGCAGACTAAGCCTAACGTGAACCATGGGCAGGTTTACCGGTTTGGAAAACACTGCTTTCACAGATAAAGCAGCACAGCATGATCATAAATTCAGAATTCAAAGACACTAACCCATCCTTCTACAGGCAAGGCAGGATCAACATGACTCCCCAAAAAACAATCACCACCCTAAGCACCACCTATGCACATACATATAACATGCTCAGAGCCTCGGTTAACACCAGTATCACAAGTCCAGAGACAAGGAGCTGAAGCAAACAGGCTAATTTTTGCAGATACAGAATATTTGTCTGGAGTGGCTATTCATCTGAAAATGTGGCTGCCTTGATGGGTGTTAGACTTTATATATCCTGCATCAGGTGTCTGACACCACTTCACTTGAATGTATTTGCATCCAGAAATCTTGGGCCAGAATAGTCATACAAATTACAAAGTAAAATACAAACCTTGCTCTTGCATGACCCAACCAACTCTTCCGAATCAATTCTGGAAAAGGTTCCTAGTAAGTGCAGAGAGAGCACAATGTCCGCATTACCAGCAATTCACCTGACTTCAGCTATGCTGGCTGAAAACACCTAGTTCTTAGTTGGGTTTTGAACTGGGATAAACACATCTGCCATAATCCCTATTATTTATACACTTCACAACTGTTAAGCCTTACATTTTTTCTAAGGTGTTAATTAATTCCAATAGAATTAAATCTGGGCAAGTACCTTTTCTCAAAGAGCAACATTACTTCCAACAGGAGTTCTTCACATACACAGGCACACTATCTATTACAAAAGATGTACTTTGAGTCACTTCCCTGCAGACAACCCATCATCAGTGATACCTGCTGAAGTCAAACTTAAAACTTTTTTGTTTTTTTTCCAGAAATAAGCACCTGTATTTTTATTTTATGGGTGCTGGGAAAGGCATTCAAAACTTAAGAGATCTACTACACCAAGATGAACAAGTGTGCAGGTGCTGTATAGTATTTTACTAACACATTTCTGAATTACACACTAACTGAAATACTGAATGATAGAGGTGCTACAACACAGCAAGACATAGAAAGTTTTACTTTCAATGACGTGAAAACTGATGGTTTTCATGCAAACTGAGTTCCCAAGCACAGAGGCAGAGGCTGAGCAGCAATGTAGTTGCCTTCCACATGAGAAAGCGCTCTGCATAACTGGTTTTGAGCAAGTAACACCACAGGGATTGCTGGCAATAAAACTTTTTACTGTATGTACACTGAGATCAGACATGTATTTTTATGAAATGTCCTCTTCCACATCCTCCATGAGCAAAAAAGCAAAAGGCTTCCCTTTGCAAATGAAAGCAAATGCTTAAAACATGCCAAGTGTTTAAATGTTCAGCTGAATCAGAGTTGCTAAGAGCTAGTTGTTGTTAGGAATATGTGCGGAATAAATCTTTGGACAATATTATATAAAGATGGTTTTTAAGAAGAATACAAGAAAAAAGAATTTGAAGATCTCTTTCTCTTAAAACCCCTCTCTGCATTAATATATTGTTATATTATATATTAATATATATTATATATTATACATCTATATATTTATATATTTATTTATTATATATTTATATATGTCATATATTATATAAAATATGTATTATATATAATATACAGTATACATAATGTATATTATACATATTATATAATATATATTATGTATATATTATGTATACTATATATTATATATAATACATATTATATACATATAAATATATGTATATTTATATATGTTATTATATATATTATATTATAGTATATAATACATAAAATATATATTATTTATATATTATATTATTATGGGATTATATTATATAATGTATATTAATGTTAATCATGTTAATTAATATATTGATATATTAATATTAATATATTATAGCATATTAATATATTAATGTATTACTATATGGGGGTTCAAGCAATTGAGGGATTTTTCTTCTCCTTGAGGAGCTAGGAATTTGGAGAAATATTTGTCATAATTTTAGACACTCCCCCAACTCTTTCTCCCAAACTACAGTAAATGATTCTTTCTTCTGTTTCATTTAGATGTCATTTTTGTATCATCAAAGAGAGAGAGATTTTAAGTCACTGTTTTCCATACTTTTGAAGTCTTTTCTGAATTCTTTTCAACTTACCATGGTTTAAACTGGTAGAAATGTGGGGGGATGAGCTTCACAGCCTGCATCCGCCACTCAGTTCTAAGGCTTTTGGTCCTACTCACATCTTGCACGGACCTGTAATAGCTCTTAAGTCTTTTCAAGTCAAAGGTATTAACCTGTGCCAGAAGAGTGTAGCTTCCTACCAAGCGTGATGAGGATTTTTAAATAATCAGAAAAACAACAACAACAACAAAACAGCATTAGATACAGGTGAAATCCATTTTTGTTAATTACACATTCACATCTGATAAATGCACATAAGTCATCATTATCTTAACAGATCATCATGGAAGAGAAAGTCCCATACTTATTTATGTATATCATCATCACAGGGGGAAAGAATTCCAACTCTGCATGAGCACTGCCAACATCTTAGCTAATATTCTTCTAAACCTGTAAGCTCTGAAATGTGAATTTTCTTGATTCTGTAAGACAGTGAAATGACCTCTATCTGGGAGACCTAATTCAAAATCATAGCCAGCACTGATTTTTCTTTTTTTTTTTTCCCCTAATGAAATAGCCAGGATTGTAGTTCCCTGCTTTAAAGAAAAACACCTTGGAAGGAACTCTTAATGTAACGCAACTTGAGTGTTTACTTTTTCTTTATTTTGTCTTTGCTTGGTATTGAACAATTATGTTTTCACAATTTCCCTTTTTCTCCACAAAGAAAGAGGAAAAACATGTTCACTAAAATATAAAAATGTGAATAGTAAGGATATTAAAATTGTAATTATCATTAAGAGGTTCATATGATATTTAATGCAATAAATTTTAAAAAGTTAGAAGTTTAGCATTTTTTGAAACACCAAGCCAACAGAAATCTCAATCAAAACATAGCAAAGAGCCAAAGAATTTGCATTAATGATTTAACTTTCTTATTTCTTAATCCCTATACTGTGCAATTACCTGGCGTTCTATGTATGCTTCATCCATGTATGTTTTCAAACTACTTCTACGTGCTTGCTTAATAGGAGTTGAAAAAGAAACAAGCAGTTAGTAAAGAGTTGTGTTCTGGCAGATGAGCAATTACAGTGTGATAGTTAAATATGTAGTTAATCACTACTGCTGCCCACGTGGCTCCCTTCTACAGCAGCACTTCATTTTTACCCATGTGAAGTGTCCCACTTCCAAAACAGCAGAGTAACAAGTTATTAAGTTTTCTGCAAAAGTGTCATTATTAAAACATGCTGTTTTATTTGGAGAAAGACACTCTCTTTTCAAAGCAAAATACTTCAACAACTAAACACCCTAACTAAGCATGTTTCATACGTGAAACAACGGCACTGAAATGTTGCCTGAAGGAGATGAGTATATATTTGAGTTACTGAAGTGCTAGAATGAAACAGTGCTGAGAAGAACTGATACTGTACTTAGGACCTATCCTGCAACCTCACACGTGTAGTCCGTCACCTAGGGCATTCATAAAGCATTCAAAAAATACCAAAAGACCCAACGATTTCAAGAATCTTACAGGTTTAATAAAAAGATTATCATACATTAGCAAAGGTATCAATTAAAAGATATAAAAGGCTTGAAATGTATAACATTTTTTAAGGAAACATAATCTCTATTTCAGTATGTACAGGTAAAAGTTGATAAAAAAACTTGATCAAATAGATAATTTTCATACCTATATAATTGGAAGTATGTACATTGTTGAAAAACAGGAATGTGTTCAGAAATGTCCATTCTTGTCTACAAAATTAAAATGAGAGGTATTCAAAGTACCCTACCTGCAGATTCAAAAACTTGCAGACATAAGACTCAGAAGACAGTGGGTTTACAATGGTTGTCTGAAACTATCAATTAAAACTTCATAAAACTAATCTTCTTATTCTTCTGTGTTTCAGCTCAGAAGAATTAGGATGTAAATTAACTGGAGAAAAACAGAACACTAGGCAAAATATAACCCCTGAGATAAGGCAGAAACATGATTACTTTTTCCTAATTGATTAACCAGAAAGCTCCGCTTTGTTTTTTATTACTTTCAAGCTATCATATCTGTTTGAAAGGAAACTTATCCTGTCATAGCTTTTAAAAATTATGTCACGACAGGTAATTATTCTGACTGAATACGAGTAATAAAAAATAACTACAGAAGTTGCTATTTTTCTTCAGACTCTTTCCATTTCTGACTGATTCTTTTATTTTTCTTCTTAATGCTTTTAATATTCTTTTGAGAAATTATATTGTTAGGAGAAGAGAATAGCTACCAATAGCTACCACATTTTATTTCTAATTACTATTTCCTATATCTTCCTTTTTTTCTTGCAAATTTTTTATACACAAGCTCTTCAAAGGCCATGCTTTCATCTTCGACTTCATTTTCCAGGTCTCTATCATTGGCAGCGCCTATAATAAAAACAAGAAAATTGATGTAAAGTGTAAAAGCTTGACCCTCTTTCTAATGGAATGAAAAAACTATGCTGACAAAACTATTTTATATGTCAGACAGTCTTTGTATGTGTGGAATCATGTTTAAGAAGCACTAAGTTTCATACAACTTACACTTGTGGTTGAGAGCTCTGCTAGCATGCAGAGACTGCTGGGCCACTTGCTGCACTAGAATTTTATTCATACACTTAAAATCTGTTACTATTGTTATAGCATTTGACTTTTTCAGGTAAGAATGAGCTCTTCTGTTCAGATGCAATTTCAGCAAAAATATATTTGCTTTTCAACTTCAAAAAAGTGTTAGACAAACTTTAATGTTGCCTGTAAGATTCCTAGAGCACTCCCGTGTAGGCTTATTAAATACGTCTTTCTTGGAACAGGGAAATACAAACCTTCCTCATGATCAAATTCTCTAAAACAGAGCTGCTTTAATGCTTTAGATGTGGTGTGATTTGTAATCCTCATTGCTTCCCTTTCCATAATCATTGCATTTCTGCCACTTAAACAGCACTTGAACCATAGCTCTGAGTGTGTGTTTGTGCGTGCAGCTGCAGGAATGTGTTCCTCAGCTCCATATGCCAGCTAGGATTCACTCAGTGCCAGAGGAGGAAGTTTGCTCCGCTTGAGCCACCCTGTGGTCACCTCTGAGGCTTGTAGTCTGTTTCAAAGACCCAACCAAGAAAGGCAACTGGATAATCTGTCTTTCCCGGAGAGCTCCATGGAGGTACCTGTCTCTTGTGGCCTAAGTAAATAAGTCTAAGTAAACAGCCACAAACCTCTGAGATTGAGATGTTGTTTAGAGACCATTACTGGTGGAGCACAGAAACTTGTGTAATTTGAAAACATACCTTCTTCTTTTTTCTTATACGAGTCCATTTTCTTCAGCCACTTGTGAGCCTCATCAATGGTGGCAGACAACTTCTTGGCATGTTGTGTCATTATTTCTTCAGCTAAAAGAGAGCAGAATTAGTTTTTCAGAACACTAGCTGAGAGATGGACAGACAGTGGCTAAAAGCCAAGCAAAACCCAAGATGCCACAGAATTGAGCTGCATGACAATCCTGCAAAGCAAGAAGTCCCAGGCAGAGGCAATTTCGGGCACAAATTCACTACTGGGGACGGATGGAGAAGCTACTGGTGTTACTGTCCAGTCAACATTACTAGCACCACGAGAGCAGTTCATGTCTCCTACAATATACCCGGGCCTTCTGGCAGCAACAAAACCAAGTATTAGCTAATTCATATTTATATAAATTTTATCCATCACCATCTCAGTTCCATGAGCATATGCTATATGTTGTCAGCAGCAAACATTACGAACTTCATCCATATGTAAAGATTTTCCATTTGGAGTAAAGAGCAGGTTAACATATCAAAGTGAAGTGCACAACCTAACATTTGGTTACTCTTTCAACATATTTCACTGATCAGAACTGATAAGCAGGACAAACTTTTCAGTTTTTCATTACTGCCAACCATCACAAGCAAACTGACAGCTTGACAGGGCTGGTGAATCTATATGATTAAAACCAGTAAGAATGTTTTGATTTCAGATGTCACTTTCCCAGAGCAAACACCTCAAACAATTTTGCTCCTGGGTCAGTTTTTCCTCCGAAAGAAACAGCAAATATGCTGCAAGAATATGGGGAGAAAAAGCAAGCATCAAAACATGCATCTCCTAAGTACCCTGACCTACTGGACAACAGGAGTGTTCTAATTTTGCCTTTGATAGTTTGTTCCCATACGGACTGGTAGTCAAATATCCACTTTTGTTTAGTCCTAGCAGAATCAGTTAAAGGGCAGAATAGTCAGAGAGATTTCTACCCAACAGTTGCACCAACAAAGGGTACTTCAAGTACTACTCTACCCTTGCGTAGCCAAACTAGCATGGTTGGCAGAATTAAATATGTAAGAAACAATAAGAAAATTACTAAAGATTATCAGGCCCAGTGACACTTTAGGAGGTGTTTTAAGATTGTATAAATTCAGAAAACAAAGCAAATCTGATGATGTAGTTTAAAAAGCGGCAATATTTGTTTTATCTGTGTTACCTACTACTGTTTTGGAAAATGTGAGAATACTTACTATTTTCTTACATGCTGCCTCAGTTCCTCTCTCCTCAGCACCTGAAGCATATGGCCTGCCTGTGTAAGCCTACACAAATATTTGTGGATGGAGCTTTGTCAGGCCTGGAAGTTTGGCCACAGATGATGCATTACGTTTGTTGAAAAGAACATGGAAAACTCTTACCTTCATACCAGGCTTTTCTCTCATAAATTTCCTCAACTGTATTGGAAATCTTCTTAATATTCTCTTTGATTTTACTTCGGCATAAGTTGAAACCTTCTTTATATGCCAGATGATCTTGACTGTACATCTTCTCTTTAATAGCCTTCACTACTTCCAGTCCATCATATATTATCGTGTCCACCTTTCTTTTGAAAAAATCTGCATAGTGTTTGTAGGCAGCAGTATTATTTCTGTGTTTGTCTGTGTTCTTGTGATCTTTGAAAGACTCGCTGGCCACGCAAATTGCATGTTCTTCCCCATGCAACTTTCCTCCCCCACTGATCTCGGTTGGCCTCACAACTTCAGAAGCATCTCCCTCCATATTCTCTGGCTGGCTGAAATAGTGCCCAGGGCTTTCGATAAACCTGACCCCACACAGGTCACACTGGGTTTGGTCAATATCTGCTTTTTTGAAGATCTCTGACAAAAACTCCTCTCCTTCCACTGCGGCAGGCTCGGTTTTGGAGCAGGCCTTCCTTTTCCACCTCATGCACAGACAGATGAACTGGAAGAGAAGATGCAGCTGCCGCTGTGCGGACGCTTTCTGCGCTTGCTTCTGCTGCTTGCTGAGTGCAATGACTTCCAGGGGATCCTTCCTGTCCTCTAGGCACTGATCGCCCTCGAGGTCCTTTTCTACCTCCTCAGCATATTCTGTCTTGTCCAAAGGAGACACAAACCTGTCGAGGTTTAGGGTTTCATAGAGGATGCCCCGGATGGGGGAGTGCCCCTGAGTGTATCCAGATTCCCACTTCCACCGGCAATCCACTAGGTACTCCTCATCTCGCTCCATGAGAAGCTCTTGCAGGCCTTCAGCAACGTCTCTGAGCTGCGCTGCATCGCTCACTTGCTCCACAACCTTCAGCAATCTTGCAGGCACTTTGGAGGGAAAACTGCTCCTCATGGACCTCAGTATCGCCCTTATATTGGGAAAATGTTGGCTTAAGAGAGGCTTGCATTTAGAATTATGCACCCGGTCAGCATTCAGTAACATCACTAAGCACAACACGACGCTCCGCTCCGCCTCCCCTGAGGTTACGCAGTCGAGGTCCTCAAAAGCATCCATAAGGACATTGAAGTTCCCATAAACTCCACACAAAACCTCTGCAAGATAACGGAGATGAAATCTGAAATTCTGCCCGGCTGCATATATGTCCTTCGGTCTGTACTCCTGTATAATGGAAAACATGTCTCCAAGTTCTTTGTTATGGTCTCTGCTCCCGAGCAAAAAATCCCAAAAATGAATGAGAGCGATGTAACTCTTTGGAAGGCAAAGAGTAATGTGCTTGAAGAGACGCATGAGGACAGCGCAAGAGAGAATATACTGGAATTCCAAGAGCATCACCGTGTTTTGTATGCTTGGGATCAGGTAAGTAGTGCACTTCCTGATCAGCACATTCATAAACCGGAAAAACAACCATTTACAGTCTTCTGGGTTTTTATGGACATAGAATTGCTCAAGGGAATTTTCCAGAAGTCGAATGAAACATAAGTGCATTCTCCCTGTGTTTTCTGCATTTTTGTCAGGTATCAACATACCAAGTCTGCCATCTATTGCTTTGATCTTTCTTCTTTGGCTCTCACTCTTCAGGGTGTTTTTTGCTTTTGACAATGCTAGGTTGAGCTCTTTGTTGTAATCTTCCTCTTCCTTCAAAAGGAGTTTCTCAAATTCTTCAGGATAACCTGAAGATAACATGAAAGCTCCCATGGCACTCAGCCACAAGTTAGTTGATTCTCTTCTAGCTCTAGCTCCTTGCATTTTGAACTCAAATGAGATGAACTCCCTTAACACTGCTCTACATGGTTTGACAAGGATATTACTAAACTCCAGTATTTCTCTGCATGCCTTTGGGTTCTCAGACAATATTCTCAAATGGAAATGTTTAGGAAAAAACATGTCCATAAGGGCTCGACATGACGTGTATCTGTCAGCAGTCAAAATGTCATCAAAGCCTTTGAACTGATTCACCAGTTCTTTAGGGAAAATCCTCGTGGCTTCCAGCACCAGCCCGTTTATTGCAGCCAGATGCATCTTGCACTGCACTACGGTCTTGGCTTCATGGCGCAGCAGAGGTCTGTGGAAATCCTCACAGGTTTCGTCTTCACAGTCCAACCCGGCGATGTACCTCAAGCAAACATCAGGGTAGCGCTTCACCAGTAACTCCTGAGTGATGGAATACAACCTGCTTAACAAGTGCTGCCTCAAAGCAGATTTTATCTCCTCTGTTCTCACTGAGAAGTCATCTTTCGTCTTCCTCTCTCTTAGACTTGCGCTGTCTGACAAAAACTTGAGAATGGGTTTGGCTTCATTCTGAGACACCTGGCAACAACTGTCCCCCGTTGGCACAATCCCGAAATAGGCAAAGCATGACTTCACCATATCTTTCTCCGCATTGGTGGCTGCTTTCTTCAACCCCCTCACCAGTCTTAGGAGAGCCACTAAGCCGCACGTTGCCAACAAGAGGATGTCCTGGCTCGGGGCGCTGCAACGAGACAACATGAAGAGCGCTTCCACGGCGCCAGCAGGGTGATTCAGGGACAGGAACTCACGGTAAGCCCTTCTCAGCATGGCAAAGTCCCCGCTCAGAGCTCCCTGCAAGAGCACTGCCTCTGCAATGCCGCATTTCTGTTTGGTTTGCTCACAAAGCTCAAGGGCTTCTCTTAGGATGGCCTCTCTCCCTGCGAGTTCTGCTTCCGAGCAGGGAGCCTCGCCGGCACGGGCTGCGGCGAGCAGGCACGACGCACGGAACTCCTTGGCAGCGGTGAGGCTCGCTGCTTCCAGAGCAAACCCGTGCTGCTTCATCAGCTTAGCGGCCTCCTCCTCTCGACCTTCGTGTTTCAGCAGGGCTGCTGCTTGGTGCAAGCACCTGCGAGACTTCAGGAACTGCAGCCGGTCCTCCACGTCCAGGTGGGAGAGGACGCGCATCATCTCCTCGGTTCGGTGGGCAGCCAGGTACTTGGCGGCCGCTTCCAAATAAAACTGATTTGCCGTGCACGAGAGTTTGGAAACTGTTTGTCCTTTTGTGCTTATTATCTCTTCATATCTGAAACAGAAGATGCATTGATATCAAATTCCTGATAGAGGTGACTAACCCAGGCACAAAACCGCAACCTAAAAAAAAGGAACATACCCGCTTCAAGAAGCCCTTCTTTAAAAGGCCAATTATTTCAAGTTATGTCTGTCATATGAAAAATGACCATTTTAAAAGAAAACGTTACAGAAAAAAGGCTGATTACAACGCAAGGTTATCCGAAGCAAGACCACTAAAGCTCCCAATATAGACAAGATCATAAGCCTCACAGCATCAGTGAATCTTGCTCCATGTTGTCAAGTCACTTTATTTCAAATTAATTTAAACACATTTTACCAGTGATAATCTTCTGCTTGTTAGTGAGCCTTAATATGCAGTGGTTCTTTACATGAGCACTCATCAGAATGAAATCTGATGGAGTATCAATCTATTTTCCACAGGCCAATCTTGTTAGTATTGTTTAGGAGTTTATATCCCAATAGTTCAGTTTAGAGAATTGTTTACGTCCGGCCATATATACTCTGCAGCTTACTAAACACTTAAGCAGAGTATATGACCACAGCTTTCAAAACATCCACTCAAAACACTCAGTCATTAATTGTTATTGCCCAACATCAAATTATTAAGCCAATTAATAAGTCTTGCAAAAGCATAGGCATTCTGAGAGCGGGTATTTTCTTTTTCTGATGGGTAAGTATATTATCTTTAGCCTTTCATTATTATCTTGACAAAGGTGAGAGTACTGATTTGCTGGTAAATTCACATAAATTATTTTAGAAATGCGAACATTAAATGGTAATGTGACTTTAATACTTGCGATTTTTGATCAAACTATCTCATATACATCAAGTAACATTAACTTGACTAAAGAGAGATTTTGATGACTAACTTCATATATAAGAAAGTCCCTAAAAAAACTCTGGAAAATTCTGGAGAGACAGCATGAAGTTGAAGCTGGTGATCAAAGAGAAAAAGTATTTTCTTTTCCAACAGCCACTTGGAAAACATACCTTTCAACTGCCTTAGCTGCTTCCTCATAGAGCTCCTCCTGACAATACATCTTAATTGCTAGATCAAATTCCTCTATTTGTTCATAACATTTGGATGCTTCTTTGTAGCACTGGCTTTTCTGATAGTAAGCTGCAGCATCTTTCATCTGCAACACAGAAGTCAATAATAAAACTGAAGTCTTTTAAAGAGTCAAAACCGCATGAATTTCATCATGTACATGAACACACTTCAAAAAATTTAAAGCAAAACAGTCAAAAATATATTAGAATTGCAATCAGTAAAACTAAACTAGTTTTTAAAAATCTTCAAAATATTTATGTTGGAAAAACCGGGGAAAAAGAAAGACACAATGTTAAAAGCTCACTGACAGCAGAAGCAGAATTAAACCAGTTCTGCATGCAGAATGGGAAAACCAAACTTACACCTAGAAGTTTTATTTAGAACAATTATTATGGGAAAAAAAAATATGTTACAATCTGTTAGTATAAATACTGCAAATAAGAAGTGCTAAATATTCTAATACACTTAGCAAATTGTCTGCCAATCCTCAGAATTAAAACAAAATGCTGCAGTCATCAGCGCTCTGCTACCCTGCTTGGAGGATTTTACTTAACCTTTTCAAGTTCTAGAGATCCTTTTAGTTACCTGCATTAATTGGTAAAGTTTCAGAATCATCAGATTAGTATATTAATAAAGTAACAGTTTACTTCATACGAAATCAATAAATAAATAGCTTTCAACTGCACAGCAGACATGACTGATAATCACGTCTGAGAAAAGCTGAAGAAATAAATCTACAGTGCACAACTGCACCATTCTCCTCTTCATTTCCCTTACAGCTCCTGTGTGACAAACGTAAGGGTCAAGGGTGGGAAGGGTGGAAGCTCTCAGCAAAGGAAACAAATAAAGGTAGAGAATTCAATACCTTTCCCAACTTTTTACATAATTCTGCACAAAGCCGGAACTCTTTTGACTGAAACAGGCATTTTAGGGCTAGGTTTGGTTCTCCACATTCCAAGTAAGTTTTCGCCAGTGCCATATACTCCAGCTGTTTTTCCCTGCCAAAAGGAAGAGAAAAATAGTGCTTAGACACAGATTAAATGAATGCTCACTGAAAACACTGACATTGCGCCTGCTCAGCACGAACCAATGGGGCATTACCCCAGCTCTGGAGGTCTTCCAAACCCACCTGGATGCCACCCTGTGCCCCGTGCTCTGGGTGTCCCTGCCGGAGCAGGAAGGTTGGACTAGATGATCTCTAGAGGTCCCTTCCAACCTCAGCCATCCTGTGATTCTGTGACTTTGGACCTGTACTGCTCTGATCATAAGTCTGCTCCAGAATCTCCCAACTCTGAAGAGTAAAAAGCTGCTTGCAATGTTCAAGCTAAGTATAGTAAAGGCCAATGTCATCTTGTGCCAGGTTACTTCTTTAACTCCTCCTTCTTCCTTTCTGCTGTGTATGCCCTAATGCCATTAAAAACAGTGATTCAATTCAGCCTTTCCTCTGTAGCACTAAACAAGCCAATCCTTTCTGGCCTTATGGCAGGATGCCTGTTTTCTTCCCAGAGCTTTCACTGTTGCCCACAGGGAGCAGGAGACCCAACCTGCTCTACCTGTGCTTGCCTTAATCTTTTTGTATCCTCTTTCATCACCCATGTAGAGTGGCCATCCCCTCACAGGAGCTTCTCTGTTTGCTAAGAGAGACTACCCTTGAATCCCCTCACAGACACATCTCCCAGGTGTCTCTCTCACATCCCGCCTTTATGGTGGACATCTCCACACCCACCGGCCCTGACATCTGCCTTCCCACAATGACTGGTCTGCTCATTTCGTTTTAGCCTTACTTGGGGCTGCATTTCTTGGAGTGCACCTTAAGAACAGCATCATGTGCCATGGCCAGCTTTTCTTTCTCCGCTGCTCCTCCTTTTTGGTAACATTTGGCTGCTACCTGGGGTGAGAAAATAGAGAACATTCACACATCTGCATCCAGCTCACGGCTTATCACATAAATGCAACACTTAATTTTACAGTCACTGTAATGGAAAGCAGAAAGACTGGCAGGGTGCCTGGAATAAGGAAAGGTAAAGCACTGGAGTGTATTTTAAGACAAAGAAGTCAGTCCACATTTCTCTCTACTACAATTAGCACCTCAATTAAAAATGCTTGTAAAATTAACACGGAAGTAGTGAAAGTAGAATTCCTAGTTGACTGGTGGAACAAATAACACATGCACATTTTGAATGGCAGGCTAAACCATTAATTGGTAAGTCAACAGGCATCTGCCACAAATTCTATTAATAAAAGTTAGGAAAAACAGCAAAACACATTATCAAACTGAAGAGCACAGAAGATATATTTATATATTTTTTAAACATACAACGACACTATGATGAGAGGCTAGAGAAATACCATGAATACCACACTCATCCCTCTCATTTTGCAATATTCTATTTATGATATCCCTCAGTAGTGTCTTTTGTTTGAGAATTCAACATTGTAAGCTACTCTTAACACTATCCAATTCCCTAGATAATTTCTTCTTAATATAACAATGATGACACAACTGTCTGCTTTTTACCTAAACCCTTTTCTATTCATTTAGGAAACTGCCTTTTTTTTCCCTTCTTCCTCAAAGGGAGAAAAAGACCACTTGCATAGTGGCAGCTGCTTATTTAAATTTTTCATTTATTGTAACTATCTATATTCCATAAAAAGCTATGTGTTGCTCTTATCAATAAAAGAAGCTTTCATTCTTCAGAAAACTACAAGTGCCCCAAATTTTATTTGTTGAATGCACAAATATTAAGAACATTTCCACACTTAATTGTTATACAAAATCTGATTTAATTATCTATCAATTAATAAATAAATTTGATAAATTTTCTAGCCAGAAAAGCAGGCTAAAATTGGCATGAATTAAATCAGCTGGAGGTAACTTCTCATTTGTTCTTTAAGCAGTAAGAGAATCCTGTAAGTTTTATTATTGCATTGAAACTCCCTGGTTCTTACATGTTAGTCCCTACTGTGTGTTTTTTGTATCCATCCCTATTATTCTTGGCAAAATCAGATGGGCTCTGGGATCCACAGCTGGATTACGCAGCTCCAGCTACTTCAATTACATGTTTTCATTTGCCTAAAGTAAGATGCAATGACAAGGCTTAGATTTACAAAAGCCAATCACTTCACACTGGTGAGGTATAATTTTGGGTTTCTTTCAACCATCTTTTATTTGTCAACATTAAAATATTTTCCCCCTAGACTGCAAATTTCTCGGTAGTAAATTGAAGATTACAGACAACAGGTTTAATTTCCCTCCTTACTTGTTGCAAATTGCTTACAATTAGCCTGTAGACATTTACACAGCTTTAGACTACAGACTGAAAAACACTGCTAGAGAGCAAATGAAAGGTTTAGAAGTATATTTATAGGTGCAAAATTAAAAAAAAAAAAAGAAGTTTTGGAACAGGCAAAAAATCTTTATTTCAGACAAATATGCAAGTCCTACCTCCCAGCACTGATGTTTAGCAAAGTAGTCTCCCCGTGCATTCCACTCTTCCGGAGTAGAGGTTTTAACAAACATGCTGTCATCCAGGTCTAGAAGGACAGGGATAATAATTTTATTACAACAGAAGTCATTACCCAGGTACAAACGCTAAGCAGTGAGAACTCACAGTATTCCAAATTCCCTAGAATTTGTGTTTAAGCCAGGAACAGTAAACTAAGAGTTAAATGCATTTTACACTTCTCTTAAATACTGTTTTAAATACTGCTCTTAAATACTGTAAAGCCTGTTTACACTCAATATAAACAGATTGTGTTAGATTTTTGAAAGGCCTGTTTTTCAGACAAGATCTTGAGCAAATCCACTCTCTTCATCTAAACCAAATTCTCTGATTTAATCAATCTGTTTCAGCTGAGATGGTTTTCCATGAACCATCTTCATTATTGTGTAGAAAAATATATCAATTATGATATTGATGAGATTATATAGCCACATAGGCAGCTAACCCTTACAGCCAAAAGAAATAAGACACATTGAAATCAAAGGCAATTTGCAAAAGCACTATCAGTGAATAGTTTGAGACCAGAAAATTTTATCATTAAGTATTATGCAGCCTGAAAGCAAGAAAATATTTAATGACCTGTTTCAGAGGAGCCTTAGTAAAATAATACCTTTATTTTCATCTGTTTTGACAACCTGAACAAATTCTCTTTTGATGAAATATTTAAAAGCTGGAGCCCGTTTATCTCTGTTTTCATCAAAGATCCAAAGATTGACCCTGGCTCTTGTAATGGCAGTATACAATTGCTTCAGTTCTCCATTCAGCATCTGAATAAATAAATGAAGTAAAATATTAGATGAACCAATGTGCTACAAAGTAACATACTTAGCAGTAAAAATTGAACAGGGAGCATATATAGAATAAAACACACAGAAATAAGCATTTTTAAGTGGGCAACTCTGAATATTAAAATTGGGATTTTCAATTCCATTTGCAATTGTGCAGCTAATGTGCACGCAACCACAGCTAGAGCAAACATGGCAAATGCCATGACAGTCTGTTTTGCTGCCTTTGTTACCTTCCCATTCCCAGCCTTACGGAAAACTCACCTTGTACATTTCTACATTAAAAGAAGGAGGCCTCTTTGGTGCAGCAGTGACATCCTCTAGAGGTGTTTCAATCAGCACTTTGCTTTCTGCTTGCTCATTTGAACTGGATGTAAAAGAAGAAATGATCTTCCATTCTTTGTAAGCCTGAAATGTCAGTAGCATGAGGTTAGTTGCAAGCAGCACTGGTGCCCATATATACAAAACATACATGGTCATCCAAACATGTAAAAACTGTTTCAGTAAGTATGTACAAATATGCTTAAAAACATGTGAAGCGTGGCCGCAGATATGTGCATTCATGACATAAAGAAAATCACATTTTCTGCAGGTTCCTTATACCCTCATTCTCCACAGAGCTAACTCATAAAATCATAGCTAAGCTATTAAGTTGATTTATCTTATTCTTGGTATAAGTTTAAGTCTTGGTATAACGGAAAAACTGTTTAAATAGTGCCAAATCTGTGGCAGAAACTGAAAATATTGGTATTAAGGCTGATGATCACCACGAACTCTTCCTGTTCTATAGGTCACAGCCTCGAACAAACTTAATTAAACGTTCTTACTGGAAAAAAAAGCAGCAAACTTTTCTTGTCAAATGTATTTTGAAGACCTGAATGCAGTCAATCCTGATCGATTCACTCTTAAACCTTTTATGGATTACAGACTAACAACTAGGGAGCGGTACAAATTTCCTCTAAGGGACTGGGAGGTTGTTATTTTTCCTCCTCTTTTAACTTACTCATGTAACTTTGCTATACAAAAGCAAGACTCATCTCAAATCTCATTTTAAACCTCTGTAAAAAGTAAACCCAACAATTTACAAACAGCACACAGGCAATTTGCTGTGTTTACCACAGCCCAGAGATTCATCTTTTCAGAGCTAAAATCCACAGTGTGATCTTCTGGCTGGCCTGCTTATTACTCGACTCAATTACTCTTGACTTGAAGGAAAATAAAAGAATTATATGAAAATAACTGTCCAGGCCTGACAAACATCACTAGAGCCAAGTTAAAATCCTCCACACACTCATTTCTAAATTCTGTTATTAGTTCATTATTTTTCTGAGCACAACTCACATCAAAGAAAATACATCAACTCAGAGAAATTTCTACTGGTAGCCAGTAACACATCGTTCCCCAATCTCACTAAGTCTGGTTTAAGGTGATTTACCTCTAACTCCTTTCTTCCACTCTCACTAGAATATTTCACCTCTATGGAGATCTATCAGCAAGCTGCCCTAGCTTTCCTTTACACACCTGTGGTTTTCAACAGCTGAAAACTGCAGACACCATTTGAAGGGTTAAAGGCAGACAGGTTTTTACACTGAGTATTTAACTGTACAGAAGTTGAGCACCAGGCAATTAATTAGTCTTTGCCTACACATTCAGCAAGGGTGGTGTCTGCTGCCTGGCCAGGCTTGGTAGTGTAAGGACTTGTTGTCAGTATGAAGGTTGTAGCAGTCTGAGCTCAAGGAGAACCATGAAGGGATTACATAAAAGCCACAATATCACAAGGAAAGAAAATCCCCCTTCAACAGAAGCCATTCTGGGGATGATGGTCTTGGCTGTAGACCGTGAGAACTCATCACGTTTCCTGCCAACTGCCAAGCTAGATCACATTGAATTTTCTGGAGCTAAATTGTGGGTGGCTGTATGGCATGTTTCCCCTCTCTGATATCTGCTTCTGATCATTGTTGTTCTATTAATCTTTTATTTTTTTAAATAGAATCAAAACATTTTGTCAACCTTGGACAAAATAAAATCTAAAAGGAACGATTTCAAGTCCATGAGCTGACAAATCAAAATAATAATCTGTCGAAAGAGTGATGATCCTAGTGTGGACTAAGGCATTCTCTCGAGGCCCAGTCACAGTTGAAGATAAAGCTATACACAGGTTCTGCAGTACCCACCTACCATGACAGAAATCATGACCTCAGCTGCAAAGACAATTAAACTATGTAAAATGAAGGCATTCAGAAAAAAAAAGGAGATAAGGAAGACTTAAATACCTCAGAGTCTGTGAAGAAATTGTAGAGAAGGACATCATCAAACTCCAAACCCTTTGCTTCATAAACTGTCAGGACAAGTGCTAAACTGAGTTCCTCAGGTATCTTCTCCTTGGCCATCTCATTTGCAACCAATATCACCTACCATAATACATGGATAAAATGAACAAATTAAAAAGCAACAAAGGTAAGAGTCATATATGTGTGATGGTATTTCAAAAGCTCTCTTAAAAAACAGACAAAATTTAACTTGAAGGTATTTTCATACACTCCACAAAGAAGTTTGCTAAGCTGCTGCTAGAATGCTGATGAATACATCTTATGAGGAGAAAGTCACAGAACTTGTGAAAGAAAATTTTGAACAAGAACGAAACAAGATAGAAGGCATCTATGCAAAGAAAACAACAGAAAGAAAGCATATACTGAAAAGAAAAACTGAAACACGCATTATAAAAGCCTCTGAGTCTGAAAGGCACACTTGGAGTGAGCTGCAGGGGCTTCAAAGAAAGAAGTGGCAGAGAGAGGTCCATACAAAATGATGATTTAATCAGCAACAGACCCAGAAGTATTTTGCAAAAAGCCATATACCTAAGAAAATCAAACCTGATGTGCTCCAAATTCAATTGGTTGTGTTTTCCTTTTGTTGCCCCTCAGCAGAATTGCCAGGTCACTAACGCTGCAGGACTCCAAGACCGTCGGCTTTGGTCCATCGAAGAGACCACAGTCCTTAGGAAGGCGGTCAAAAGACTCTGGGAAATAGTACTGCAGCAAATCAACCACTCCAGAAGCGAGGTGGAGAATACCTTTAGCAAGCAGAAGATAGAACTTAAACTATAGTCCGTCTCATACTCTATCTTAAACATGTTTTTAAAGGATTTTGTTAAAATTTGATATGAAGAAATATATAATAATTCTACTACTACTACTAATAAAGCTATTAAAAGAAAAAAAGCAGCTGTAAGGTCCATTTAATGTTTCTGTACTTTGACCAGATATGACTAATGGACCTATACTGATCAGAAAGCATGTTACAACGACTTATCAACAACTTCCTCATCACAAAATGAAGGACATAAACGAAAAGCAGGTAAGAATAAAAGCTGAAATACATCACCAATCCTGCAAGCCTAATAACTAGGATTGTGAGGATAGAAATATATATATGTAATACATATACACACACACACATATATATATTTTAAGCTTTCCTTCAAGTCAAATACAGATAAAATATTCAGTAAACGTAAGTGTTGCAAATACAACAACTTGCATTTTTAAAAGCCTTTATTCTTGGCTTTTCAGTTGAGGCATCAGAATATAGAGTCTAGATGTCAGAAACACCTGACCAATTGAGCTCTTAAAAAAAAGGTCAGGCTCTTTAAAGATGTTTTACACGGGCCAGTAGAAACATGAAAGTGTTTGTGAGAGCTGCAGAGCAGAAGCTCAGCTAAACTTGGCACTCTACCTGAGTGAGATCTGTAGTTCTGGTACAACTGATAGATCCTTTTCGGTTTTCTAACACGCTGCTTCTTGTCCATAGAGCTCTTGCTTGCATAATGAAACAGTGACCTCAGATCACTGAAACGAAAAGCAACTCCTTTCATTATGCTCTGGGCAGTGTCACCGGTCAGAAACATGGCATTGGGGTCATTGATGCACTTCATCAGCAGCACCAGTTCGGCCTGCGTGAAATCCTGAATCTCATCGCCATAAAACTCATGAATGGACCACGGCAGCTCCTTGATCTTTGACAGTCTTTGAGATAAGTTATACAGTAAATCTTCTTCATCGAAGTAACCCCTCTGTGATCTTATCTGCTGATAAAGACAGAAGAGGCGATAGATTTCACTCCTGTCTTCTGTGAAGTTTGGCGATCTCTTCCGGCCTAGTTTTTTGTATTGGTCTTCAGTAAGTTTACCCCCAGAGCAGCCCAATGCCTCGAAAGAGCCTTTCAAAAATGATTTTATTTCTTTCCAAACGAGTGCAGGATTGTACAAGCTTTTACCTTTTATCATTTTTGGCCATATTTCATTAGCAAACACATCATAAGTCACAAAAGTCCGAGGATCTCTTTCCCTGCAATGTGCATCTGGAGCTCCTTCATCATCACCATGTTCTCCTTCAGCGTTACATTCTTCATCCTCATCTTGCCAGTTTGGTACAACCAAGTCTTCTTGAGGACTCCAACCAACAATGGTTCTTTTAAGGCTTCCATCCTCATTCCTTGGAAAAAATGGGTCGGGCATAGATGCATCCAGTAACAGCAACAACTGCTTGGAGGTGATGAACAGTGGGAAATTTTCATCTTTAACATCTTGCAGCTTGTGAATATTTGGCTCCAGGGGCTTGAAGTGACTGGTTACCCTAGAAGACTTGCAAAGTTCAATGAAATTTTTCTGAACTTCTTGACACAAGACAGGATTTTTTGTCACAAAGATCTGGTGCAGGTGTTCCAGACTGTTCGATGCTTCTGCACTTTGCACTTGCTCTTCTTCACAGTCCTTGGAATGATCCGTTTCTGCACAAACTGTGCCTGCAGCGACCTTTTCATCTCCACTGTCCTGTTCTTGCTCGTCACTGGCCAGCTCATCACTAGAATCATCACTTCCCTCTTTTTCATCAGTCTCTCTCTTAATATTTTCAACCTCACTGCACTGCCTTTGCTGCCATGTTTGCCTTTCCAGCAGAGGACCTTTGGCCAAAGTGGATTTTTCCCAGTAGGAATGGAATTTCTTCCAAAGCCTGTACAAGCAGCAAGTTGTCTTCCCTGTCCCACTTCTCCCAATTAAAATAATCGGTTCCATGGGCTTCGGGTTGAGGTCAATTACTGCATATTCCAACTCCCCAACTCGGAAGGGATATTCAACGGCAGAATGTATATCATTTATAATGTTATATGCCATGTTAGTGCTGAAGCTGTGGAACTTCATTATGTTATACTCCATTTCCACCGCACTGGCTGGAGGGAAATACTCAGGTATGGTATGTTCTTTCGTTCTTTCTGCCTCTGGGTCTTCAACATAACAACGGGGAACACGTTTCTGTGTTTTCACATTGTGGGTCTGATGTCCTTCATTTATGCCCTTGAGTTTCTTTCTGAGGACACAGGACAAGCCACGATTGTAGGAAATACATATGTTATCTATAACGCGGTCCAGCTTGCAGTGGTCCAGAACAATGGCCCAAATTCTGATTATTTCAGTGTAAACTCTTCCAGACTTTTCCGGATGGCTTTTTGACTGCTCCTTCTCCATGATCTTTTCGGCGCTCTCACTGCAACGAGGAGAAAAGTCTATCGCAAGTTCCCACAGCATTCTTTCTCCTTTGCCCAACTTGGCTTCGTACAGCTGGATATCAGCTTTCAAATGTTTGAGTGGCTTTTGGAGGCCCCTAGTCCACTCCCCACTGCCGAGCCGCTGAATTGTCATTATAGTTTTGGTTTTGAGATAGTAGGGCAGCGCTTTGCTGCGCAACGTTTTCAGCGTTTCAGGAGTGCACTCTATTTCCCACGTCATGTTATCAAACTCCTGAACATAGGTCTCAATATCCTCAATCTTCTCAAACTCTTCCACTGCTTCTTCTTTCTCTACATCAGGCAGGCCCATCTTCAACTCAGCAAGCCCTTCGCTTGCTCCCTTCGTTTCCTCAGGATCATCCTCTTTTCCTTCAGCAGAAGCTACACTTACACAAGCTTGTGTGGACTCACTTTTTCCCTCTTCCAAGTGATTCTGGGCTGAAGATGGATGTTTTACCAGAGAATTATCCTTTATCTGGGTGTCACCCAACTTCAGCTGCTGAATTAAAACTGTGATTTCCTGCAACAGACTTTCCTGCAGAGTTAAGGGGCTATTTATTCTTTCTATTTCCTGCTCTGCCACCTGATCATTTTCTGTCTGTGCAGAACACAGGGTTTTCGCATCGTTACATGCTGAGATGCCAGATGGTGCCTTTAATGAAGCCCCAGATGAAGAACGTCCTGCATTCTTTGGCTGTGAAGTGTTACAAGCTGGAACAGGCTTAAGTGTTTTAGCTGACTGCCCTGCTATGTCATGTCGATACCTCTTCTTCTCTGATACAGCGTTATTCCAGGCAAGTAGTAGGGGGTCATTTTTTTTAACTCTATACCTCACATCTTTCCCCAATTTGTTTTTTATATTAAAGTTAATATCAAATTTTGCTAACAAATCCATTATTCTCTTAGCCTGTTTGGACAATCCTCTCTGAAAAATAATATGCATCACTGTATTTCCATTCTCATCTTGGATGTTTGGATTAAGATACGGAAAGTCTGAAGGTCTTGAAGCAAAGAGATCAAGCAGGCAGTTCAGGATGCATAAACCAGTGATATCTGAAAGGAAGAGAATAAAACAACTTGCTTTAAAATGCTCCATTGAAAGCTGGTGAATTTTATACCTTTTTTTGCCCTACAGCTATTAAATGAAAATCAATGTACTTTCAAAATAAAAATTCTATATTTCATGTTTGCTAAGCAGGCTGTTTTGAGATTCCCCAAACACAAGCTTTCCTAGGATTTATAAAAAAAAAACACAGTACAACAGCAGCAAAGCTTTAAAATCCCTTGTGCCACAACTGCTCCATAGCATTTCATTCTTCAATGCATTTCAATTACAGGATTTCAATTTCATTCTTTTTTAACCTCCGGAAGCAGTCAGATTTGTTAATCCTCCCAAACCAGCCATAATTACCAAAGTCAGTCTGGTGACTCTGATGATGTGGATAGACTGCAGCACTGGGTATCTGGTACAGATAACTTCTGGTTACTAAAATGATCTGTGGTGAATCCTCCTATCTTTCTAGATCTTAAATCTCTAGAATAATTTTCAGAAAAATAAAATCTACTCTAATACTTTCCTAGGAAAAAAAATGCTGCACTACATTTTTTTTTTATAAGAAACACTTTTTCCTTAATTGTAAAAGATTGCTACATGAGTCATTATGGAAAAAAAAAAATCCATCTCATTTTTCACAGTGAAAAATACTTACAAGACTGTAATTCGATTTCTGAGTCTTTTGATTTGAAATTTACTTTCAGTAGTTGCTATTCTGAAGCCTTTAAATGAAATGTGTCTGCTTCAAAAATTAATAGGTTAATTTCTTTAAGTATTATTTTTAAGTTGGAAGATTAATTCATTTTTTAATCAAACATGACTTTGGGGCTTAATTTGATAGTTTATCAGAATGTCTTACATTTACACATAACCTATGAAGTCCTTCCACTCCGTTCTCCTCCATGCAAAATTTTTGTTGAGTTTTGACTGAACAGAAACAAGGAAAACAATTTCAGACGTCACCCTAGAACTTCTCTGCAAGTCTGCTGCCACTGCTCTGCTTTTATCTTTCTTTTCTTCCTCGATCCTTCACGTTTATGTCGCCACTTAATAACATGTATTTTATAGGATTTCAAGGAGAAGCTTTCATTTCCCAATTAGCTAGGTTAAGCAGAATAGTGTACAAAACAGCAAGAGATGGAGATGACACAGTTATCACCCGATCAGCCAATACTCTCCCTTAGCCACTGTAAATTGAAAGCAGAACGCTTGGCTTTGAAAACTTGCATGCATCCTCTAGGCCATGAATTTTGATAGCCAAGACATGGCCCCACAACCTGCCTGCTGCCTCTGCTACCTCACCAGTAAATGCAGCTAAAGGTGTAGTGGGCCAAGCACGTAAGAGGTGGTCATGTTTTAAGCAGTTGTTGCAGAAACTCAACACATGCATCTGCTACAGCCCTTTGTGCCCCTCAGGCCCAGGCACACAAACCTCACCTCTTTTATCTAAGCAGATGGAAACTGCAGCGTGTAAAGGAGTATCTCCTTGTGCCATGGAGACATTTCGAGGATCTGCACCTTTGCTCAGCAGCAAGTGCACCAGTTCAAAATACTTCTTCTTCAGGCATATTTGCAATGGTATTTCCGTTCCAATCCCATCTGGCAAAGCTAATGTGAAGCACATGAAAACATCAGGAGTTAAACCGGATACACCACATGAACAAAGTATAGAAAGCACTAAAAGGGGGAAGATACACATTTTGATTACTAAGCAGGTAAGTGAATTTTTTTTTTTCCTCCACAAAACTGCGACCAGTCCTCCTGTTGAGACAGGAAGATAGGAAAATCAGAACTTACTTTCTTCAAGAAAGTCAGACATTGACCAAAAAAAAAAAAAAAAAAAAAAAAGAGAAGCTTCCTTAAGTTCAACAAGGGCAAGTGCAGGTTCCTGCACTTGGGGAGGAATAATCCCGGACACCAGTACAAATTAGGGGTGGACCTGCTGGAGAGCAGCCCCGCAGAGAGGGACCTCGGCGTGATGGTGGATGACAAGATGACCATGAGGCAGCAGTGTGCCCTGGTGGCCAAGAAGGCCAGCGGGATCCTGGGGTGCATTAAGAAGAGCATCTCCAGCAGGTTGAGAGAGGTGATCATCCCCCTAAACATAGCCTTGGTAAGGCCACATCTGGAGTACTGTGTCCACTTCTGGGCTCCCCAGTACAAGAGGGATGTGGAGCTGCTGGAGAGAGTCCAGCGCAGGGCTACCAGGATGATCAGGGGCCGGGAACATCTGCCATATGAGCAAAGGCTGAGGGAGCTGGGCCTGTTCAGCCTGGAGAAGAGAAGGCTGAGGGGGGACCGGATCAGTGTCTACAAATACCTCAAGGGAGGCAGTGAGGAGGAGGAGGCTGGCCTCTTTTCAGTGGTGGCCAGCGATAGGACTAGAGGAAACGGACACAAGCTGAGGTACCAAAAGTTCCACAGGAACTTAAGGAAACACTTTTTGACAGTGAGGGTGACATAGCCCTGGAACAGGCTGCCCAGAGAGGCTGTGGAGTCTCTTTCTTTGGAGATCTTCCAAACCCGCTTGGACGCAGGTCTGTGCCATGTGCTCTAGGTGACCCTGCGTGAGCAGGGGGGTTGGACTAGATGACCTCTGAGGTCCCTTCCTACCTTAAGCATTCTATGATTCTATGATTCCTCACACCTCTGGTTGCTCATAAAGTTACGTACATCCCTACTTTATATAATAACATCAAATTATAAAATGAAAAGGGAACATGCAGTAGAAAATCCTATGCAAAACAAAAAACAAAAGTTATGATGTCTACCCTAACCCAAATGGAAAGACAGTTGGTCATGTCTTTGAAACTACGAGTCACTCAAATAATTACGTGTAACACAACAACATACTGAACCCAAAATCTGGGGCTTACAGTAGATATAAAGATAATATTGTGGCTTGACCTTGGCTATTTCCTCCAAACCCAACCCTGCCAGCCCAATTTCAGGTGCACAACACCGTGCTTCCTGAGCAGCCCTACCAGCTTCTCCACGCTGCACACTGTGGATGCAGCGGAGGGACTGAAAGCCCAATAAGTCACTACAATAGTCATGCTTTGGTGCTTCTGAAACTATATTGCTCTAAACATGCAAAACAAAACATCAGGTCTTTTAAAGCACATTAATATTGCTCAGTTGTTCACCTCCTCTATCTATCAAGCATCTTATGAGGTTCACTGGTTCATCCACTTTGTCACACTGATGGATAATGCTGCCAATGTCAACATCTGAGAGTCCGCAGTGTTTGAAGAGTCCTCCACCTGATGGCTCTTCCCCAGTGGCTTTGCCTGTGAGCAACAGCAAAACTTCGGGCCACATTTGCTTCTCCAACAAATGCTTTATTAAGTTGTTGGCACAGGCATGGGAGATGTCGCAAACCATCCCTTCAGGAATTTCTGCACAACAGACAAGGAAAAACAACTCATTCAAAACAGATAATGAAATTCAACTCTCTGTGAACTAATTTCTGAATAATGAACTAAAGAAATTCAATTAAAAGCATAGAAGAACAGAATTCTCCACTTACATTATTTTGTCCTGATGCTGACTGCGTAAGTTTAAACACTTCAATTTATTATATTAAATTTTGGGGCATATTCTGTTTTTCTTCTTTTTTTAAAAGGCAAAACACAGTGGTAAAGATAAGTAAAAGCATGTTACTTCAGCGATTTCAGTTGCAGAAGAGGTAAGTGAAGGAAGGGAAACAGAAAGTGGAAACTGTATTTCAGCATCAAGTATTTTTCACACCAATTAAGTTCTGTGAAGGGGACAAATGGGAATCGGAATTCACTGTACCTTTCACAGTAGAGAGCAGTTTCAGAAATCTCTGAACTGCACCTTCCCTCAATAAATTTTTATGACGTGCTCCATTTCCAGACCTGCAAACCTGGAGGAACTGTTGCAGAACATCCGGGAGAGAATCCACCTTGGATGCAGCTTTGTTTTCATTTCCTCCTGCAAAACAGTACAGAGATTTATCGAATAGTTTCTTGTTGGTGTGTTTTCAGGGCAGGACTGTATTATGTAGTATCTCATGGCTCTGAGAAATGTGTGGAGGCAGATTAAAATGAAGACAGCTGGAACTCTTACCACCAAAGTCATTCCTAGGATGGACTTCACATCTCAGGATACTTCACACACTCATCAAATGCATTATTTTCCTTCATATGCTAGGCTGAAAATTCTAATAGTTCACAAGCTGAGCTAGAAGCAGACAGGACATCCCTGCCTCACAGTGATCATAAAATCATAAAATCATAGAATCATAATGGTTGGAAAAGAACTTTGAGATCAAGTCCAACCACAAGCCTCTCAACACCATGCCTGTTAAACCATGTCCTTAAGTGCCTCATCTCCACATTTCTTGAACACTGACAGGGATGGTGACTCCACCACTTCCCTGGGCAGCCTGTTCCAGCGTTTCACCCCTCTTTACGTGCAGAAATTCTGCCTAATGTCTAACCTGAACCTACCCTGGAGCAACTTGAGGCCATTTCCTCTTGTTCTACCTGTAGTTATTCTGGAGAAGAGATTGACCTATACCTCACTACAGACTTTCAGGTGGCCGCAGAGAGCGATGAGGTCTCCCCTGAGCCTGCTCTTCTCCAGACTAAATAACCCCAGCTCCCCCAGCCGCTCCTCGTAAGGTCTGTGCTCCAGCCCCTTCACCAGCTCCCTTGCCCTTCTCTGGACACTTTGGTGCCTCAATGTCCTTCTTGCAGTGAGGGGCCCCAAACTAAACACAATATTTGAGGTGCAGCATCACCAGTACTGAGTGTAGAGGGACGGTCACTGCCCTGCTCCTGCTGGCTACACTGTTCCTGATACCAGCCAGGAGGCCCTTGGCCTTCTTGGCCCCCTGGGCCCTGCTGGCTCATGTGCAGCCGGCTCTCGACCCACATCCCCAGACCCTTTCCTGCCGCGCGGCTCCGCAGCCCCTCTGCCCCAGGCCTGTAGCGCTGCGTGGGGCTGTTGTGACGCTCAGGATTTTGGGGCTAGATGACTAAGAACAGCAACATTTTTAGCACATGATTTTAATTAACGCCCTGAGCTTGTCTACATCTTCACTGGCATTTATGAAATATGGTCATAAGATTTGTGCTCTTAAAAAAAAAATTAAAAGTTTAAGATATTTATATAACAAACAACGATAGGCTATGCGTTGTACTAACAAATGTCCCTAGATGAGAACCTGAAAACTTAGCCTGACTCTCCCAAAAGCTCTAAGAAATACAAGTATACTGAACAAAACAGCAACTTTATCCATTAGGACATCAAAGGATCAGAGGAAGTCAGTCATCTTTTAGGACTCGGGATTAATGTCACGTTGTTATCTGTAATGCAGGAGCATGTTCTCCAGTCTCCTTGTCTGCATGAAGCCTAGAAAAGAGTTGGGGGCTGCACACTGCAGTAAAAACTTGAACAAAAAAAGCAGACTAGAAACCAGTTTGTTACCTCAGTTCATGAAATTTCATATTAGCCCTGGGACACTTAGAACTTTTGTTTTTCTGTAAGACAACTGGTCTTTTGCAAACAGCAAACATAAAAATATCAACAAATCAAAATGCTAGACATTTGTCCAAGAGCACAAATTTGAGCTCCCTGGTTTTGGATTTATGATACTCCCTTAGCTTTAGATTGTGAGGCTGTTTTCCTACTCTCTTCCCTTCCAACGTGCACATTTAAGATTTTCAAACTAAGCAGAAGTTTTATATACACATCATCTACACAGATCAGAGATTACTGCAACTCTGTTAAGTCTTTTTTCATTGAAATATTTTGCTCTGTTTATGTTTAAGAACAGCCTGCATCACTTTACATCATCACCTCAGAGTTTCTGTTTCTTGCTAGCATTTTTCTTTATTAGAAGCACTTTAAAATATGCCATCCATACTCCTACCACATGCTTCATTTCTGAAAACTAAGGTTCAGGTAAAAGGTCAAAACTGGAAAAGCAAAAGGAGCAGCAGTTTCTATTGGAGAAGCACTTTTTTCATTAAAGGAAAAAAAGAGCTGTTTACAGTAATTTACAGAAACCTAGAGGCACTTACTGTACGATTGCATCATTTATTAAGAAAAGTACTAAGACAGCAGACACCTTCTAGCAAGAATAAAATGTTTTAAACTGAAGGCAAATCAGGGTGATGACTTACATGAAAAAAAGAAAAAAAAAGTATCCAAAAACATACAGTTTTAAAACCATGGAAAGCACGTAGTGCATACAATACCTGACAACTCCCCAGATGAAGTGCATTTCTCTATGTGATTGCTGACTGCTTTGACAGCATTGAAGTTTTTATTCTTTTTCAAGATATCTATGACATATCTTGATCGTGCATCTGGAATGGTGGGGTCAGCCCCAAAATTCAGGAGCATAAGCACATCTTCTGTTTGGTCTAAAGCATTGAATGAGTAAGAGAAGAAGCAAAATTCTCATTATTCAGAGTTAAGTTCCTGGCACAATTTCTGATGTATTTTTATTTAAAACAACAGATCTGAATTCTACCAGGGTCATCGAATGAGGTACTGTTAGGTATTATTCTTCAGCAGAAACCCAAGAGACAGTTCAGAAAGACTAAAATCTTATTTTCTTTATTATAATTGGGAAGCTAGGAGCACAAAATGACTGGATGCATCCCCTTCTCCATGGCACCCCAGCCCTGTTCTCTGTCCTCTAGGCCAACTGCTCTGAATGTAAAGAAAAGAAATGGGGCTAGTCAAATTCTAATTTGGCTAATGGCAAGCATTATTTCTTTCCACAGAAATTACCATCCTCTACAGCATTTAAGAATAAGAGTTACAGATCAAACAAACACAGCAAGCAATTACGAATTATAGCCCTCACACACTATCATATTCTGGAAGAGGCTGTGCCCAATTTGCCACGTTCTGCTGCCAGGGGCTCTCCTGCAAGCAGCCAGTCCAGTCTGCTGGCCCCAAAAAGGTGCCTGCTGGCCACCAGGCCACCAAGCAGCTGCAGGAACACAGGAGAAACAGGAGGGGAAAATGAGCCGTGCCTGGCAAAAAGGGTTAGGTGGATACAAAGGTGTCTTGTTTTGCTTGCCTAGGCCTGCCATTCAGGCTATTTCAGGGATTATTTTTGTTTGCTGATGGTTCTGAAGAGTTCTTATATGTGCGTGGGTATATACGTATATATCTATATTTAAAAATCTGAGTGTATATGTATTTATAGATATGCATGTGTGTTTACATATAGAAGTTTTATATACATAAAACGCATGCATATGCATTATATATGTGTATATAGATGCATATGTACATATGTAAACATATGGTGTTTGTGGAAAATGCAGTAGCCATTTAGCAACAGACGTAACTGCAGGCAAGGCAATTTACATATAGGCTACAGGCATCTCCTTCACACTATTAAAGAGAACCACCAGAATGTCACTGCACCTAATGACTTAAAAGCTTTGTGTTGCCTTGGGATTGATGTTTATTTTTTGTTGCCATCCAGTGGCCACAGTAAGAAATACAAGGGCAAAAGCCAGGCTAAGTTAATGTAAAAGAAATCCCTCAAAAAAACAGGAGGAGGGGCACTTCATATTCCTCCTCTGACCACTACTACTTATGGGTTAAGCCTCCATCTACTTTAAAAGCTATAAAGATAACGCCAGATATACTGAGGATGTAACCGTATTTTATGAGGACAAAGAGATTCAAAAATATACCTAAAAACTGGAGTAAGTTGCAGGTAAATCATAAGAGCAAAGACAAAAAGCCAACATATCATATCTAATATTTTACAAAGGATCTGCTGAAATGTTTAAATATTATTTGTAATTACAAGTCTATATTCTGATTACATGACTTAAACAATTTCTTCCTCAGCATAAAATAACTGACACTGCTAACTGAAATCTTCTTCCATTTTTTTCCGCCATAAGAAAATAAACCCTCACAGCAACAGAAAAAAAGAGATGAAGTGTATATTTATTACCTTTCCGGGAATATTCACTGGATGCCACAATGTGCAGGACAGTGCATCCATCTCTGTCTTGCTGGTTAATCCCATCCTTCAAATGTGGCCTCTGCATCAGTAACCACCTGAAAAGATCGTTCCTTTCTGAAATGATTAAAAACACCCACTTGTTGTGAAATGGCAAGCACAGGTATGGCAAAAACAGATGTTTTTGAACACAGAGAATAAGAGGGGAAGAAAAACTTAAACCAAATCACGGCAAGAGCCAGCCATGCCCTCAGAGACGTGATGCTCTGTTCTCGCTGCCTTGCAGCATGCCCAACTCTGAGACTGACCTATAGCAGCTATGGAGACTACTGCTCCACATTGAAGTAACAGGAAGAAATCCTGTATTTTTCTCAAAGCTGATGCAGTCACCTTCTAAATGATCCACGTCAATCACACTGGCTTTAAACCATCCTACAAGTATCACTAAACATAACCAAAATGTGCTTACTTGATCAACAGGAAAGCTTAAGATACTCTTTTAAGCAGCACCATACTAATCCAGGCAAGGTCATAGCTGTTGGAGCAAATCTGGGGGAAGGGGCTTTTCTTCTTGTTTTCAATTAAATAAAAAACCTCCAGCTGTCAGTTATCTGAAAAGGCCCCCTTGTTTAATTGTAGCGCGGGCTGTCACTCACTTGCTTGGATACACAGTCTGATAACAGCATGAAGAGGACACGTTCCAATGGTTTCAACTTTTGCCCCCAAGGAAATCAGCCATTTGACCAATTCTGCTACATCTTGCATCCTGTCATCAAGTCCACAATACTCATAAGTCTGATAAAAAGAGAAGAGTAGCAAAACATTACATATGCAAAAGACGTTTTCCAAGTCATAATTCCATACTTTTAATGACAAGAATCAGTGGGACAATAACAAAGCCATAATCCATTATATATATATAACAAATTGAAAGAGTTACAGTAGAAACCTAATACAAATATTCTTCTCCTACGAGGCACACACCTATCTTGAGAGAATCTCACCCTGCTCTGAATAGCACTGAAACTGAAGTTTACTTTAAAAGATTTATTTCTGTATTTCTTCTCTATAATTGACTGCAAGTCAATTGACTGCAGGTAATTATATATGCCTAATATACATGCCTTACACATGCCTAATTAAATGTTACTGCATCTCAAGGCACATATTGCTACCATAGCATATTGTCCCTTTAAGCTGAAAAGAGGTAGCTTTATGCAGCCAATACTCCCCAGAAAAGAAAAGAAACAACTTGAAATTGGTAAAAGGGAGCTAGTGACTTGGGGAAGGAGATACAGGGAGTGCAGGCAACTTCTCAGAAATCCAATAGGCAGACACCAAATTAGAGTCCAACTCACCCTTTGCCAGCTCCACAAACATCTGGAGTTAGGGCTGCAATAACTGCCTGCCTGCTCACACGCACAAGAGGTGTCAAGGATTAGAAGGCAGATGTTAGACCAGATTGCTTCAAAGAAGGTGATCTGGTAACAGCATGAATTGCACAGGAAAGTTTGCAGGCTAACACTGGAATCCAGGGCAGAAGGAGGCCGAAGCAGAGAGGAATGTTTTAGTGATGACTGGGTGAATACGAAGCGCAGCCTGCCAGAGAGGGGGACAGCAACACGAGGCACGCTGGGCAGGGACACAGGAGGCAGAGGTGGAGGTTGGGACAACAGGCCAAAAGGATCAGGCAGGAGGGCTGCTTGGGAACGGTACTCAGCCATGCTTTTTCCATCTGGGTCTGTCATTTATTATGTATTTACTTATCAATCTTTGCATGCGCTTCCAACATCCAAAATTAAGTCTTCCTCTGATGCCTCATGCCAGATTTTGGCTGGCGAAAATTACTGCTTGTGCAGTTGCAAATTCAAATTCCCCCCCCACAGTGAATATACAGTGTCAACAGGGGAACTTCCAGTTGTCAGAAAGTCACTATTTCCTTCAAGTCTTGCAAAAGAAAAGCAGTGCTTAGGGATTTCTCATCTTGAATCTTGAAACACAGAAAAGTTTAAAGAGCAAAGACTGAAAGGGCCAATAAACAAAGAATGAGATACTGCTTTACAAGGGCAACCTATGGTTATCCCACTCTCTCATGACATCTTGATTTGTCTGCCAAGGAAGGTTTTTTGCTGAGACACCTTACATATTCTTTATAGTATTGACCAGGTTTACTGCCAGGGCCTAGAGCAAACAGCAAAGGGTGACAGAGGGTGGCACGAAAGCCCCTATGGCTTTTTGGCTGGCACAAACATAGCAGATGCTCTGGACAGTTTCTAGAGCCCGTCTGTGTACCCCCGTTCACTAACTCCTCTGCTACCGTGATGAGCAAGCTGACTGATAAGCTGCTGATACATTTCCTTTTCCACCCCTCTCTTTCAGGATTACTCCTGTTCATTTTGTAAGTCACTTATGTAAAATTTATTTATGCAAAAAGCTCAATTCGAAATCACTCTGATGGAAATACCACTGTCACTTTAACAGCAAATGGCAAATTATGGTATATTCCATTAATATGCCATAAACTGGTAATGTGACAGCCAGTAAATGCCATGGAAAGGTACTGTGTAGCCTACAGTTAACATTTTCTAAAGCTTCTATTAGGCAAACCAGTGGTGTAAGAAAACCAGTATCATCAACTCAAATCCAAAAAGAATTTCCCCGTGAAGGTTTAATCATATGTTTTAAAAGCATGCTACATTCAGCAGAACTGTAGTTCACTAGGTTACAGAGACAGAAAAAGAGAAGAATAAAGCTTGTAGAGTTTTGCTGTTTCAAGCCGTCCAGGGGGAAACCTTTATCTCAGCTGCAGGTGAAAGCAGCTGGGCAGGAGTTGGCCGATGGCAGACCAGGACACTATGCAAAGCGTTTAAAAACCTCCTAAAAACCTCCTAAGCTGCAGAGCTAGTGGAGCCATCGGCTCCTGTCCAGCAGCCCTGGGCACACTCCAACTTTAAGTGGGCTGGGAGCGATGGTTGCACATCCCTTTGCATGTCCAAGGAAGCCTGGCAGCATTCCCATGCACACACGCAGGGAGGAAGCACCAGTGAGCCCCGCAAGGCCACCCAGCTCACCCACTCCCACGACCAGAGCCCCTGGGACACACCGGAGCGCATGGGACTGCCAGCAGGGAAGCTGTGCAGGATTAACAGGGCGGTCTGGCAGCTGGGTTTTATCCAGTACAGAAAGCTACTGACATGCTCAAGTGCTGCAGAGCATGAGGAATTGCAAGGAAACCAGAAAGCAGCAAGTTTCAAGACAGGAAGGTAAAGATCAAGTTCTACTGGCTGCAGATGCCCCATTTGAGGGAAAGGCACTGGGCACACTGTGGCCACATACAGCTGTATGTTTACATCTTGCCAAAATCTTCTACACCATTTGGAAACTTCCAGTGCCTTCAGGGATTAGTTTAGCAATTTCTGCCTAGATATAAGGCAACGTATCAAAAACTGAGGGTAGGGAGGGAAGGGAAGGTTATCACCCCACTTCATCTCCTTTAGTCATGCTTAGAATCAAGAAAGAGGGTGGAGATTGGTTGCCAAAGCCTAATGATACACAAGCCCAGGAAGATCACAAATCGTTCGGGTTGGAAAACATCCAATGAACAGATGACAGACATTTTTCTACATTAATAAAAATGTCATCTTCCATGCCCAATATGTATTGCTTTCTGTACTTGCCAGGAACAAATCTTTTAATCAAGGAAAATATTAAATTATATACAGAATTTATAGAAACTATAGATTCTATAGTCATCCTATAAGGAACAAAACATATGATTTAATACAGTCATGTGAAGTACACATTATTTTCCATTTTTTCCTTTCATGTATTATAACATTGTACATAAAACTCAAGATCTGTCAGTAAGATACAAAAAGATACACACAAAATAAAAGAAGTTGTCATTACCTCAAAGAGATTCCTCAGTGATAACTGCTTGACTCGGAGATTTGAGGGCAATTCCCTCTTCTCAGAGAACAGCAGCAGACAAGACTTAAAAAAAAAAAAAAAAAGAGAAAGAAAATATCTCAGATCATGTAAGTGTAATTAGGAACTATCATTTGTGTTTCACTGCCTCCACAGATGTTTTGGAAAAACTAAGGAAAGCAAAACAACATTCCTGATCCTTAAGATGTTGACAGGTCTTCAAATATTATCTGCTGAATCTTCCTTCCTTTAATAACTTCATGCAACACACACTTTGCATTCCCTGTGTCCCTCCCCGGCACACAAGCTGCCCTGCCCTGCCCCGTGGCATGTGCTGTCATGTACCTGGAACGGCAGGGCAGGTGCCAAGGGCTCTTCTGTCCCGGTATTAATTAACCAGGGATTTGGCTGTACTGGCTAAGGCAGACAGCACTGCAGCCCAGCATGCAGAGGAGCTGCCACAGGATGGCCTTAAATAACTTAGCAGTGAATTGCAAAAATGATTAAAAGCATTTTCGTTTGATTGCAACAGACTGAGAAGCTATAATTGATGAAAGTTTCTTCAAAAACAAGAAAAGACCTGGAAAGGTCAATTTGGAAAGGACCCTCTGCTCTGAGGTGGAGTTTCACATTCCGGAACACGAGGCTCCCCAGACACGTTGAAATCCTTAACAAGAATTGACTGTCTTTCTGTTTCATATATTTTGCTAAAAACTGTGCCTTGCTCCTTCAAAACCTCCCTATTTTCACAGAAATCAGAGATGGAGCAGCCTCTTGAGGGAACTGGAGATTGCCCTAAAGCATTTCCAAGTACCTCAGCATAATAAACTATGTGTATTTAACTTGGAGTTTCGAAAGCAAAGGCTATTTATGGCAGGGGAGTGGAGCATTTCTGAACATGTATTGATCTAGGTGTTTCTTTAGAAAGTTTGCAGGGCATAATCACAAGGTTTTCATACAGTTACTGTAAAAAGGGAATTAAAAATTTCAGGCAATATACCTTCTAACTTTACTAAATAATTTGCTTTACATTAAAAGTCATATACTCCTATTGAGATGGTCAATGACGTCCGCATCTTTCAATAAAAAGCTCCAAATTTTCCAACTGGTCATATAGAAGGAAGAGCAAGAAGGACCACGAAGATATTTTTCCTCTAATATCTTTTAATAATTATTATTCTAGATGGCATTGTGATTATCACAGAAAAATAACAAAACAAAATGATTTTTCATTTGAGTTTACCCATCTGAAAAAGTAAACAGTCTCAGAGATTTACCACTTAGTACTTCTCTGGGTCTAAAATATGGACATTTCCACAATGGAAACAGTAAATATTCATTATTTCAAATTTTAAGGGTAATGACAGCTTACCCTGAACAGAAAGAAAAATACCCAACTACTGCACAAAAATACAGGACACTTGTTTTCTTTACATAGTAATAAACTTACCCGCCACTTTCCTCTCTGGGCCAACCTTTCTATCACCATTTGCCAAATAAGTGCATCAAATCTGGCACTGAAAATAAAAGTATGTGCGTGGAAATAACTTGGTGGAAGGATTCTTTCATCTACAAGAACAAGCAGTTAAAAAATTACTTAGTACAGGGAGCACTTCTGAAGTTATGGTCCCCAACTAAATCATTTCATTGCAAATAAATGGCCAAATAAATGATTGTCAAGTAAGTAAACAGCCAAATAAATGATTGCACAAAAGATGCCCTACCAAGGACTTGCACTCTCCCCTTCACCAAAAGGCTCTTGGGAAAAAAAGGTTTTGAGTTTACCATTGATACTTATGAAGATTCCTGTTACAAAATCGGCAACTTGAGATCGATCTGCAGAATCATTCAGAAGACTCAACCCCCTATGAAACACAGAAACCGCCTCATAAGAGTCTGACAGCATGATCAGTGAGTGGCCAGCTCTGTAATAAGCCTGGAAAAAAAAAAAAAAGAAATAAAACACCATGAGCTTCCAACAACTTAGGAGCTTTCAACAAAGACCCACTAGGGAAATTACTATTCCAACCGTCTCCATAGGGACTTTGCCTTAAACTTAGGCAACTCTCAATGTTGAAAGAAAGCTTGAACTACCAGCATAACATGACAAAAATAGGTAAGTGTGTGAGAAGACAAGACAATCTCTTATTCTCTTAAAGAACCACCAGGCTGGTACAATCAATGCTCTTCTTCGAAAAATGTTTACAGATCTTTACTATACAACAAGGTACTGTTCTCTGGCTGATATTCAAGTGCCACTTCTTCCAAGCTCAGGATCGGTGTATCCCCACAAAAAAGAAGTCGAGTAAGCGGGGCAGGAGACTTGTATGGATGGGTAAGGAATTGCTGGGCAAAGTGAGTGAGAGAAAAAGAGTGCACAGCTTGTGGAAGAAGGGACAGGCCACGTGGGAGGAATACAGGCGCATTGTCAGAGAWTGCAGATGYGARACGAGGAAGGCCAAAGYCCGGGTGGAATTAGAGTTGGCGAGGCAAGTCAGAGACAACAGGAAGGGTTTCTATAAGTATGTCAACAGCAAGAGGAAGACGAGGGAAAATGTTAGTGCACTGCTGAATGGGGAAGGGGCCTTGRWGAMGGAGGATGCCGAGAAGGCAGAGTTACTAAATGCCTTCTTTGCCTCTGTCTTTACTGCTAAGGTGACCCCCCATGAACTGCATGGCACAAAGGGAAGAGATGTAAATGGGCTAGAGGAAGACCTTCCGCGGGTTGAGAAGGATTGGGTTAGGGATCACTTMGGCAAACTGGCCACTCAAAAATCTATGGGCCCGGATGGGATGCACCCAAGAGTGCTGAGGGAACTGGCCGAGGTTATTGCTCACCCTCTCTCCATCATCTTTGAGAGGTCCTGGAGAGCA